CTTAATACTGTCATACAGGAGGAAAGTAGAAAAATATTTTTCTTAGAGATAATTGGGCTAAGTTGTGGAGTTTTGTTAATTGCCAAATTAAATTTTGTGTTTATTCATAAATTATATTCCTGAAATGTTTACTGAAATTTGTTTCTGTGGCTTGGCATTCAACCACTTCCTTGTATTCCTTTGTCAGTACTGTTAGAATGTGTTAGTGTGGGCTGTCTGTGAAAGAGGTACTTTTAACTATAAAGAAAAGGATCTGTTATCAAAAAGCTCCAGAGGTAAATCTACCTTTTCCTCCAGTATGGTATATTCCTTCCAGCAGATAGTAGCAGAATTTTAAGGTACTAAAATTGTAGCTTCAGGCATGATGCTTGAAGCTTTTCTAGCCTTTCCCAGTGAAGAGAAATTATGTTTGACGTCATTAATTTAGAGGGCTGAAAAAGAAACCATCACTGAGTTCAAGTTCTTAGGGAGAAGAACTTGTTTTTTTCCTGAGGGGAAGGCCAGCATAGATGACCACTTAAATGATACTCTAATAGCTTGCTTTTTTGCTTCTCAGCCACCAAACAGGGCAGGATGCTCTGTTTTATTCTTGGTTCAGGGAGAAAGGATGCAAATTCATCAGTTGGTCTCTTTAAAGCCTTTCAAAAAGTAAAATAACTACTGTATTTTGCTGTGATGATTCTCAAACCATTTATAAAAAGAACATTCTTTTATGGAAACAAATGGCATTCACTTATCTTGTCTCTTCTATCCATTGTATGAAAAGTAGTATTATTCCTGATTGCTCTCTTAGATGTGTTACTACATAAATAATGATGTTTTATGTAGTGATGTGTGCAAAAGGTGTATTGATAGCAACTGATTTACTTAATGGGAAAAGGCTTGAAACCTTTTTGTTGGAAATCTGAACTAGAAACACTTCTGATGCATTTCAGATAGCAATTTATTGAGGTTCTTAGTTCTTGTCTAAGGACTGAAAAAATGCAAACTCTTAACTCAGCCTGGGTTTCCATTTGCTGTTGAGAACATGCAGCCCAACGCAGAAAGCCCAATGCAGGAAAGGAAGCTAACTTCAAAAAAATACGTACTTACAGTTCTGCTACTTTGTACATACAGCCTTATTCACAGATTGTAACTGTAGATATTGAAAATAGACATTGAGAAAATGAATGCTATTGGTTGTTTATTCTTTTAATAAGATTCTTCCGAGCAATGAAATTAAAGCTGGCTATTCTATAGCTTCTCAGCCAGATTTAAGTAGAGTTTCTGCACTATTTTTGGATTACAAATGTTGAAAATGTTACGCTTTTGAAAATTATTTCAAGAGGTTTTGCAGAAGCAGTTTTGTTTAGATTGAAAATTCAGGTATTGGAGGAGCAATCTTGCTGTTAATTTTTGTCAGTAAATACATAGAAAATAATTATTTGTCTGGTATTTAAGGAACGTTCCAGTTTATTTGGCTTCTCAATTTTCTTCCAAAATTGAGATTTTGTCCATTAAAAATAGTCTAAAACTGTTTGTAAAACATTTCTCATAGAATCATAGAATAGTTAAGGTTTGAAAGGACCTTAAGATCATCTAGTTCCAACCCCCTGCCATGGGGAGGAGCACCTCCCACTAAACCATCTCACCCAAGGCTCTGTCCAACCTGGCCTTGAACACCACCAGGGATGGATCATTCCCAGCTTCTCTGGGCAACTCATTCCAGTTCCTCACCACCCTCACAGTAAAGAACTTCCTTATATCCAATCTAAACTTCCCCTGTTTAAGTTTTAACCTGTTACCTCTTGTCCTGTCACTACAGTCCCTAATGAATAGTCCCTCCCCAGCATCCCTATAGGCCCCCTTCAGATACTGGGAGGCTGCTATGAGGTCTCCATGCAGCCTTCTCTTCTCCAGCCTGAACAGCACCAACTTCCTCAGCCTGTCTTCATACAGGAGGTGCTCCAGTCCCCTGATCATCCTCGTGGCCCTCCTCTGGACTTGTTCCAACAGTTCCATGTCCTTTTCATGTTGAGGACACCAGAACTGCACACAATACTCCAGGTGAGGTCTTAGAAGAGCAGAGTAGAGGGGCAGGATCACCTCCGTCAACTTGCTGGTCATGCTCCTTTTGATGCAGCCCAGGATACAGCTGGCTTTCAGGGCTGCGAGTGCACACTGCTGGCTCGTGTTCATTTTCTCATCAACCAACACCCCCAAGTCCTTCTCCTCGGGGCTGCTCTGAATCTCTTCTCTGCCCAATCTGTAGCTGTGCCTGGGATTGCTTCAACCCAGGTGTAGGACCTTGCACTTGTCATGGTTAAACTTCATGAGGTTGGCATCAGCCCACCTCACAAGCGTGTCAAGGTCCCTCTGGATGGCATTCCTTCCCTCCAGCATTATCAACCGAACCACAGAGCTTGGTGTCATCAGCAAACTTGCTGAGGGCTCACTCAATCCCACTGTCCATGTCATCAACAAAGACATTGAACAAGACCGTTCCCAACACCGATCCCTGAAGGACACCACTCGTTACTGGTCTCCAGCTGGACACTGAGCCATTGAGCACAACTCTTTGTGTGCAGCCATCCAGCCAGTTCTTTATCCACCGAGTGGTCCATCCATCAAATTGATGTCTCTCCAATTTAGAGACAAGGATGTCGTGTGGGACAGTGTCAAACGCTTTGCAAAAGTCCAGGTAGATGTCATCAGCTGCTCTACCCCTGTCCATCAGTTCCGTAGCCCCATCATAGAAGGCCACCAAATTGGTCAGGCAGGATTTCCCCTTAGTGAAGCCATGCTGGCTGTCACCAAGCACCTTGTTGTTTTTCATGTGCCTTAGCATGCCTTCCAGGAGAATCTGCTCCAAGATTTTGCCAGGCACAGAGGTGAGACTGACTGGTCTGTAATTCTCCGAGTCATTCATTTTCTCCTTCTTGAAAATGGGGGTTATATTTCCCTTTTTCCAGTCATTGGGAACTTCACCTGACTGCCATGATTTTTCAAATATGATGGCCAGCGGCTTCGCAACTTCATTTGCCAGCTCCTTCAGGACCCGCAGATGGATTTCATCAGGTCTCATGGACTTGTGTACATTCAAGTTCTTAAGATGGTCTCGGACTGGATCCTCTCCTACAGTGGACCCAAGGTTTTCATTCTCACAGTCCCTGCGTCTGCCTTCCAAGACTTGGGTGGTGTGGTCAGAACATTTCCCAGTGAAGACTTGAGGTAAAAAAACGTCATTAAGAACCTCAGCCTTCTCCAAATCCTGTGTACCCAGTACTCCCCAGAGCTTCTGGAGAGGGACTGTGTTGTTCCTAGACTGTCTTTTATTTGCAATGTACCTATAGAATCCCTTCCTGTTATCTTTCACATCCCTAGCCAAGTTTAATTCTAACTGGGCCTTAGCTTTCCTAACCCTGTCCCTAGCTTCCCAGAGAACATCACTGTATTCTTCTCAGGCTGCCTGTCCTTGCTGCTTTTATAAGCCTCTTTTTTTCCTTCAAATTTTCCTCAGGAGCTCCTTATCCATCCAAGGAGGTCTCCTGGCCCTCCTGCTGCACTTCCTTCTAGTTGGGATGCAACAGTCCTGAGCCTGTAGCAGGTGATCCTTGAATAGCAACCAATGGCCTTGTGCCCCCCTGCCCTGTAGGGCTATATCCCATGAAATCTTACTAAGTGGGTTCCTGAAGAGGCCAGAGTTTGCTCTTCTGAAGTCCAGGGCAGTGAGCTTGCTGCATGCTCTTCTCACTGTCCTGAGGATCTCAAATTCGACCATCTCATGATTGCAGCATCCAAGGCTGCCCTGGAGAGTCACATTCCCAACCAGCCCTTCCCTGTTGGCGAGCACGAGGTCAAGCATGGCACCTCTCCTTGTCGGCTCCTCTATTACTTGCAGAAGGAAGTTGTCGTCCACACAATTGAGGAACCTCCTGTATTGCCTGTGCCGGGCCGTTCCGTCCTTCCAACAGATGTCAGGGTGGTTGAAATCACCCATGAGAACAAGGGCCTGTGAGCGTGAGGCTTTTCCTATCTGTCTATGGAGTGCTTCATCCGCAGGTTCTCCTTGATCAGGCGGTCTGTTACAGATCCCCACAGTAACGTCTCCCATAGCTATTTTCCCTTTAACCCTGACCCACAAACTCTCTGTTAACTGATCACCTGTCCCCAGACAGAGTTCCATCCTCCCCAGCCTATCCCTCACATAAAGGGCAACTCCCCCTCCCCCTCTGCCGCGCCTCTCTTTTCTAAAGAGCCTGTAACCTTCCATTCCAACACTCAAGCAAACAAACAAGCAAACAGGCACATACTCTTGAAAGTGATGAGTCCCATTGTACACACACAGGTGAATGCTAATACTACAGGGTCACAACAGGGATATTTTTATTAAACAAATAAAAACCTCCCAAACTTAGCTTAAACAAGCCAAACTGTGGCTGGACCTTTTTCTGATGCCCTCCACCACTTCCCTGGCACTGTTATTATGAATCTTCATGTTCTTGAAGAGACAAAGCATAGGTAAAGACAAAGCAGGCATTCCATTGTTAAAGTGTTTTTCTTTTTTTTCCCCTTTACTATTGTCTCACAGTAATAATTCCTTTTTGCAAGTTATTATGTAGTTCATCTGCCAATAATTGTTCTTAGTTACCAATTCTTAATTTGCCTTTGTTTTACATGGAAAGACAGTCAGAATTTTCTCCTCTTTTCTGTTTACTCCAGACTCCAGCAGAGTTGGATTTATGATTTTTTTTTTCAAACATTAATAATGAAATTCCAAATCCTCTATGCATAAGCTAATCAGAAAATAATAAAAAAAAAAAAACAAACCCAAAAATGTACAGTTACATTATCCAGACTTACAAGCTGTGGAGCCAAACAAGATACATAATAATATTAAGATTCACAATAATAAGAGTAGAATATTTCAAAACTCAGATACTGCCAAAAGTGCTGCCTAATGTTCTAACCCGTTTCCCTCCATCAGCTCAGTGCTAATGACACTCACCAATGTCACCTGGAACTACACTCTGCTTTCCAGCTGTACCCCCTTGTGCTTGTTAGTGGTGCTCCAGCTCATTAACTATGAGGAAATAGCTGGCACTCCTTTAAAATCTTAAAACTGGTAGAAATGCATTAGAGATAATATACCTCTTTCTAGCACTAGAGGACCATGACAGTGAGCAAACATTTTTGTCATTTGAAAACATGTTTTTATTTTACACCTAACTTTATTAACAGCAATTTTCATGTGTCTTGCAGTTGTAATCCATCAATTTCAAAATCCTTTATAAGAAAAACACATTTATTTCCAAAGATGTTGGCTACCTTAAGACACACCAAAAGTGCTTTTGCAAGTGACCACTTCAAAATCAGGACTCATCCGCACCTAGAATTGCCTGGGGTGTTATGTGACTAATCACAGGCTGCTCCCAGCTGCCTTCATAGGTGCTTGGTAGGCAAGGGGGTAATTAGGGCTTCCTAATTAAGAAGTGCCTTGCAGAGCTAGGTTTTGGATGCTGCCCATGGGGTTTTGCTTCTGCTTTGCAACTAGGACAACAGGTTCAATGTTTTTAAATCACTTCACCTTGTTTCTCAGTGTTTTTTCTTGCTTTATTGGTTTATTTTTTTCCAAGTGACTGTTATGGTCCTGGGTACTCATGCTGAGGTGAATGAGTTGGGTTTGATACTCGGGGGAGGTTTCAAGAGTGGTAGTAGAAGCTATTACAAGAGGGATTTAGCTTTGTATGCAGCTATGGAAGACCAGATGTGAGTGTTTGGTTTAAGTGTAAAATGTATTTGCCTTTAAGAATGGTTTGCATTAGATGTAGTGAGTGGCTGACAAGTCAGGCAGGCACAAGAGCTCTTTTTGTGTAAGGTAGTAATAGAAAATTGAGATAAAAGTCGTTAACTGTGATTGTGAAGTAGCAGTGATTGTCTGTGGCTGCTTAGGTCTTTTTGTTTTAATCTATTCCACTTTTATTTCTAAAAAGTAATTTTCTTTTTCTCCCAGTTCTGACAGGAGAGGGTCAGAAAAAGGAAAAGCTTCTTTTTCTTTCCTGCCGTTCTAGCTCTCATTTCTCATTAAATGCTACCTGCTCCTTTTTTTTTTTTTTTTTTTTTTTTTTTTTTCTTCAGGGATCAGCATAGTAAGAAACAGGGAAGAGCCCTGCCACCTGCAATGTAGCTAAAAATGTAGCAACATACAATGCTAGCACTCCCCTTTTTAAGGATTGGAGTGCTTTATGTTTACAGATGTTAGGACCAAAAAGTAAAGTGACTTGTACAGTTGCAAGCTGTCATAGTTATCTAGAATTATACATCTAATCAGATGTATTATCTGAGCTTACTGTGAGAACTATCTCATTTCACAAGCTCTCATCCACTTCCACATGAGCAGTGAACTTTGCCTCATTGTCACCCGTCTGTATTGTGAAGTTTCACTCCTAAATGGAGTATCTCACTAGCACTTGCAAAATGGCTTTGAAGAATTAATCAAAGGAGCATCCCTGGAAACAGCAAAGACTGTATAAAGATATTTTGATTGAAATAAGGTATTTGATAGTGAGCTGTAGGAAGATATATGTGGTAGTTCTGTAATATCAGACTGGAAGACTTTGGTTTCATATTTTAGAGGTGAGGCTGTTGGTCTGGTTTTGTTTTTCTTTTATTTTTTCCTTGCTCTCATGCTATTCACTAGTCTCATTAATAACATAGCTGATAGAATAGGAAGTATTAGTTAATGAAGTCAAGAGATTATGCTCAGTGTAGAAAGTTGTAATTGTTTGGAGATTCAAGCAAAAGTAGTCAGTAAATAGTATTAAATTATTCTCTCTATCTATCTGGCTCTAGAAAAGTCAGAGGTTGTGTAGCCTGGAAGTGTTTTTTTTGACTGTGGGGGCTGCACCTTCACCCCTATCTTGAAGTGTAGAATAAGATATTGGTGGGTTTTTTACAAAATATGGCTTGTGGGAGTGTGCATCTGAGAGTACCTGAGTTTTAGGTCTTGAAATGCATATTATGTAACAACTACTTTTCTTCGCTTGCACAGTAACATCCACTGGAGGTGGGAGTAGAATCTGTTTCCATAAAGTATTTGCATTTGAATATTTAGTCTGACTCTTCCCCCTCTTCCATCAATAAACCCACAACTTTTAAGCTTGACACAGATTTTCTAGGAAGATACAGAACTGTTGCTGGAAATAGTGGTATAAACTGTTATCTGGGATGATTTATAGCTGATAAATCTTACCACTGGGAAGATGAAGGTATAGATGGGGTTGGGTCATTAGCAAGTGTACCTAAATATTGTACTTCTCTTGGGGGGGGATCTGATGATGTCAGCATTCCCTACCTGTGTTGTATGGATGTGGTCATTAGCAGCCCTTTTCCACCCTGAGAGGGAGAGCGGAGCAATGGGAGGTGGGTTGAAGTAGCGTCCTCTTCATCATGATAACGGGGCAGCAGCTAGGTTATGTGCTTGGGGGCTGAGGTAGAAAAGCTCTTGTGGCTGCAAACTGGCATTTGTGTAATCATACCAATATAAGTGAAACTATTTCAGTTGACCTGAGTGCATGAGGTCAAGTGGTGTTAAATGTACAGGCTGTAGAAAGGGTGAGAGAGCAGTTCCCAAAACTAAAGTATGGTTCCAAAATTTTGATGGCTTAGTTGCTAGAACTCAGGCAATAGATCCATTAACTCCTCAGAACTTAACATGAGCCAGCAGTGTGCGCTCGCAGCCCAGAAAGCCAACTGTATCCTGGGCTGCATCAAAAGGAGCATGACCAGCAGGTCGAAGGAGGTGATCCTGCCCCTCTACTTTGCTCTCGTGAGACCTCACCTGGAGTATTGTGTGCAGTTCTGGTGTCCTCAACATGAAAAGGACATGGAACTGTTGGAACAAGTCCAGAGAAGGGCCACAAGGATGATCAGGGGATTGGAGCATCTCCCATATGAAGACAGGCTGAGGAAGTTGGTGCTGTTCAGCTTGGAGAAGAGAAGGCTGTGTGGAGACCTCATAGCAGCCTTCCACTATCTGAAGGGGGCCTAGAAGAATGCTGGGGAGGGACGCTTCATTAGGGACTGTAGTGACAGGACAAGGGATAATGGGTTAAAACTTAAACAGGGGAAGTTTAGGTTGGATATAAGGAGGATGTTCTTTACTGTGAGGGTGGTGAGGCACTGGAATGGGTTGCCCAGGGAAGTTGTGAATGCTCCATCCCTGGCGGTGTTCAAGGCCAGGTTGGACAGAGCCTTTGTTGTTGTCATTGTTTAGTGTGAGGTGTCCCTGTCCATGGCAGGGGGGTTGGAACTAGATGGTCTTAAGGTCCTTTCAAACTCTTAGGGATACAGCGTCACTTGCTAAATATAGTCTTATGAGCACAGAGCTGTAGCAGTAGTTCCAAGAACTGAGAAAACTTAAAATAAATCTGTAACCAAAGTATACTTTTTTTTTTTTTTGGGGGGGGGAGGGGAGTTGGTTTTGTTTTTATTTTGGGTTAACTAGGGGAAAATAACAGATGAATGGATGATCCCCGGGATGCTTTTATTATGCTTGGGTTTGTTGCTATCTAGATTTTTTTTAAAACTGTGTACACATGTAAAAGCAGAGTGCAAGATGAATAACAAAAATTGCTTTATGAGTACTGGTAACTGAATATTTACTTATAATTTTTCCCCCACCATATCAAATTAATCTTTCTAAAAATCTAGGTACTAATGTCTTGAGCAACTGATTAAATAAAGGACTTAAAGGTGACTCTGGCTATTTTTATAGCCCTTGTGATTCTTAATGGCAAGATGTGGATTTAACAGTTACTAAGATTATGGGGTATTTGTATTCTTCACAGTTAATGCAGGTTTCCTTTGCATTTAGTTTAGTCATTTTCCCTGTAGATATCTCGTTGCAAAAATCCATGCAGTATAAGAACATGAGCACTTGTATCTGCATATTCTTAAGTATAGTTCTGAAGCTGGATTTCATCTGAACAAATTGATGCTGGAATAATCCCGAACTGAGTAGGAAGCATTAAAAATACTACTTTCTAATGATGTTCAAGTGCTTTTTGCCAATAATTGTATTTAAAAGGAACTTTCTGCTCTCAAGATGTAAGTGGTTGTGCAATTTGTTACGTGCAATTTAGTACACATCACTGAAAACATTGATTCAGTACAGACAGAAATTTACAGAGATAAAGTCAATAAATATTTTGTACTACTTGTAGTTGTGAAATGCATTGCTTATAATTGCTAAAATCGAAGAAGGTGGATGAGAAAAGAATTCTGAACAGTTCCAAGTGAAGCAGTGCTGTGTCTTGGAAAAAGCACAGAGATCTCAATGGTTCTTTCATGCTCTGACATCTAGAGTTGCCATGTTTCTGTCAGAAGGAGAAGGGAAAAAAGACAAGAGGAAAAAAAGATCTTCATATGTAGAAGAGAACTTGACTCTGTGATAGAGTTCATAATCAGTCTGTACTTGGAGAACAGCTCTATGACAGGGTGTAAAGTTAATTTTGTGAGAAAGTGAAGTGTGTCTCATAAGCTTGGTTGGAAGGTCTAAAAGCAGAAGTCTGCTGCTTCAAGAATTTGCTGCCACTTAATTTTAAAGTTCAAAATAACATCTTTGACCCAGATATAGGATAAGTGTTTGTGGGTTTCCATATTTTTTTCATCTCAACAAGCTGATTTTTAATGCAGTTCCTTGTTACGTAAACAACCTAACTTTTTTTTTCACTTTTTAAAAAGTATACCAAATAAGTAGAACAACTGGCAAAGCAACTGCCTACCATGCTGTTCCAGAATAGCATTAAGCTATAATACTTCTGAAGTCTCCAAGGTAAAGAGTTTGCAGATTGAACATTTTTTGTTTTCTTAAAATGGATGGGATTAATCCTTACAAATACCTAAATCTTCTAAAAGGATATAGATATAAAAATTTAATGGTTTGGTTTTTTTTTTTTTGTGTGTGTTTTTTTTTTTTTTGTGCCATAAGATTATGTAGGTGTTGTCTTCAATTTGGTGAATAGTTAGCACTATTACTTTCCCCGGTCTCCTGTTTTTATAAGTTAGTGACTGGAAATTTGAAAAGCAGCTGCTGACTGCCTGAAAATGAGGTCTCCCTCTCTTCAAAGGCAAAGATAATTCCTAATAAGAAAACATCAATATTCCTCAAAGTCAGTGGGTGTCTTCAGGTAGGTATGGCTGTTTTTTTCCTGGGTACTTGATATAATATCATGACTTTGTTAGTTATGTCTCCTTTTTTAATGCTGTCCCTATCCCATCAGGAGTAAGAGTGGTTCAGGTACTAGAAAATTTCAGATTTTTTAATATTAAAGAAAACAGACAATGTGGAACTTCTATTTGTATTTTACTAATGGTATCCTTTCAGGGAGACGCAGTAACTAGGTATAGGGTATATGAGTATCTATAATTTAGTGTAATCCTTCAAGAACTGGTCAACACAAGCAATTTCAGCAACTTGTTTTTGGTGCTGCTTATTTGTCTGGGAAACCAGTGTCAAATACTGAGAGGCGTCTGCTCAGTTCTGTTGGGTGCAACTCCCGTTTAACACTTTCGCACTTGAGGGGCTATAGGAGGTGTAAACTATTTATTTTCCTGGAGCCAGCAAGTAAAGTTTTTTGCTGGCTCGAACTTTAAATTCTGTCTTTATTTTTTTCTCCCCCTTTTTTGTTTTGTTTTGGTTGTTTCCCTCTTTCAAAAAGAATTGTAAATAGTTTGCATTCAGAAAACCAATGTACATTGTTGTTAAATTCAAGGTAACTCATTTATGCTTTCTTTTTGGCAGCATTGTAGCAAACTATAGCTTTTACATTGCAAACCAGCAGAACTGCACACAATGATATGGGGATCAAAAAGCTGTTCTATAAGATTTTAATTCTGTTTTATTGGTTCGTTGGTGGAGAGGTAAAATGAGAAGATAAAAATTGATGGAGACACCAGCTTTTACTTTTTCTCTCTATTTCACTGGATTCATGGTGATATTTCTACAGGGCAACAGAAAATCTTGTCAAATAAAATTTTGTGTTTGGAATGAAGGGTTGCTTTCTGTGGCTGAAGAAGCTCTGCTATTTGATATACATTTGGGCTTTCAGTAAAGCTCAGTTGTTAACTTTGGATGTTCTGAGGGTTCCTCTGCCCTCCTCCTCTTTAAACTTGCTCAGAGAAAGCATTTTACTTACTACCTCCATATTAAAGAATTCATAAAATGTTTTAAAATTTTGCATTTTCCCTTGTATATTCTTTCTTTCTCTCCTATTTTCTGGTTCTGTTACAGCAGGATCATTTTCCTTCTGGTATGCTGACCTCTTCACACACAAAATAAGTTTCTGTGTTATGTTTTACCAAGATGTTGTTTTACACATTTGCTTCATAAAATCATGGGTGCTAAGATATTGTGAAACTGAGTCCTACTTATTTCTATTTTTAAGTTCTGAAGTATTTTAAAAAGAACTGCTCAACTCATGAAAGGGTGAAAAACTGAAAGCCTTCTGTTTATCAACTTTGGGGAAGTCCCCTTTTGCTGCTTTTGTTAGTGCAATATCCTTTATTTTCCCTCATGTCCTTGCTGGCTCCTAAGGAGTTATCTTAAATGAAGACATCTGTTGAAGCCTTTGTTACAGATGGGTATTTTAATGGGCATTCCTGCAGTCCTTTTGTTTCCGTTAGCAATTGTATTTTTTGGTAGAATGACTGAAATATTTCAGAGCAGTGTAGAAATAGCTTTCTTAAAAATGTTCAATCTAAACAAAAGCACATGTGAAATACAGTAGCACTAGAATTGCTTCTCCTAATTTAGTAAAAATAAGGTGAATAAAAGTCATGTGGGTGGAAAACTGTTTTTCTCCAGCAGGAAAATTTTGTAGGAAATTCTAGAAACTTGCTATCTTGCATCTAACAAGTGAAAGCAATGTTGGTGCAGTTCTGTTTTGAAACCTCATTATTGTAATAATTTAGATAAGTTTTATTTGAATAATTTATATATTCTAAAATATCTTAGTTGAAAACCTAAACTGAAGACAATTTGGTTCAACATTATAGAGTTTGTATAATTACCAGCAGGTGTCAGGCTTTCACTTTACAAAAAAACCTGATCTTGAAAAGTGTACTTTTTTTGCAGTAGGATATAAAAAACTTTGACTTTAAATTTAGGTGTATAATGCTATTGTGCAGCTTGTTACCCATCAGACTTGAGAGTTTAATGAATGATTTTTCAGTGTGGTTTGTATTAAGCAGTAGTGGGCTTAATCTTAAAGTGTCATGTTTTTGAATATTTTACATATTTATGAATGCCATATATAATATGGTAAAGAGTCAAAATTACGTACATGTGTATGTAAATTGCATCCTTGCATTTGTCTTCTCCAGACACTAAATGTCTGGTGACATTTACGATAGTAATGTTTAGTTTATCCCTGGGATTTGACCAGTTATCTGTTGCAAGTAAAAGAATCCTTACAGTTAAAGTCCACAGTGGAGTCAGGACTCTGGGATATTATTATTGCTTCCTTTACAGACCTTTAATGGTCAAAAGATGAAGTTGCAGGTGATAAAAATATGGTACAGGGTTTTGAAATATATTTAGGAGCAATGGTTAATTATCTTGCAAGTACTTTGAAACACAATGCATTGCAAATATAAGTAAAATTTTACAGCTTCAGATTGTATGGGTAGGGGTTGCTGTAGAGCAGGACAAGATCATCTTCTTTCTGATGCTCTGCTGTTGTTGTGAATATATTTTAGGCAATTTTCAGTGCATTTGTTAACTGTTAAATGTTTCTTATAGGAAACAAAAAAATCTCTCTCCTAAATATTTGGGCACTAGAGAAGGAATAGCTGCCCTTTGAAGTGGGGTGGTATTTCTATACAGATAACCGCACTGACCCCGTTCTTTAAGGTAAATGTCTGTGTTCTGAGCATCTCCCACTGCTAAGTGGGAACAGCTGCTTCCCAAGGAGACAAGATACAAGTCAGTTGTTAGTGCTGCAGCAACATGAGTCTCAAAGCAGTCCTGATTAAAAACAACAGAAAGGATTGAGCACAAAATGGTAACTGCTGCCTTGGCAGTTCTCACTGTATTAGAAATGAGCCACTATTTTTATTCTCTCCCTACCCTTTATCTACCACAAAGAAAAAGGATCAAAATAACTGGCATAAGAAAATATTATCTTCTGTGTATATGTGAAAGAAAAAGGGAGGGGTACATTTATTTGGCTCTTTTTGTACCTGTTCCAGAATGTTGTGGGGTTTTTGCCTCATGCACAAGTACTAGGAAAGTCTTTTTGATCAAAAACAAAGGAAGGACAAAGTCTAGATTTGCTCTAAATAGGGATCAATAGTGTTCATAAACCACTTTCAAAGTGCTGCATATTGAAAATGTCCAGATCAGGTATGACAGAGAATGACTTTGTGTAAAGGTAGGAGACTTGTAGGAATATCTTACACACTTTCTCCACCTCTTACACCCTGTCTCAAGAGCTAATGCCTCTGTAGCAGCAATAAAGTGGTGCGGAAGAAAAGAGGTTACTGATAAAATGCAGTTTTTCTCTGAATGAATAAAGTACAACTACTCCTTTAGTCATGCACAAAGGATCAGTTAATATCTGCCTAACACTGCCCTTAGCAGTTTGTGGTGCTCAGTATTACTTTCTTGCAGGGCTAGCATTGTTAGGTTTCCATTTCTTTCATTTGGACTTCATTCGTTCATCTCCAAACTGCAAGAAGTTCAACCAAACGGTCATGTTTAATGTCTGGGTCCAAAGCCTAAAACCAAACAAGATGGGGCATCCACCCTGCCAGCAGCACACGCTACAATACAAGCTACAAAGTAGCTTCTGGCAAGTTCAGTATTTCAAAGATTGCTTGACACATGTAGTACATTAAGAAACAGGTAACAGTAACCCTGTCAACTGATTAGTTTTTGTAAGCTGTGACAGGTCCTTTGGAAATGTCCTGTGTTTGTGGGACTATTAGCTATAAACCTGCAGTGTGAGTGGCCAGAGGCAGTGCAGTGAAACCTCCCCAAGGCTGGGAAGGCTGGCGTACACCCTATAGGGCTTGTAAAGCTGAAGGGAGAGAGCATGCCACAGTTACTGTTAGGTTGGGGTTTGACTTTGACTCTAGAGCTCTTATTACTTTAGCGAGAGACTGTTGGAGCAGCTCCTGCTGCTTGGTCCTGTTGCAGGGGATTTGCAGTGCTCAGTGAGGCGAGCCTATGGCAGTTTGGCTCACCTGAGCTGCTGGGATGAACTTCTGCTCCTAGGAGGGCTGTAACTGAGAAGCGGGTGTATGTCACTGATCCTCAGCACAAGCCTGTTTGGTTTTGGCTGAAGTCTGGCTCTCGTGTCTTATTTTTATAGTTTGAGTTACCTGGTTTTGATTAAGGTGATGGCATGTAAGACATGCATCAGGAGAAGGTTCAGTTTTAAATGTAAAACAAGTGAAAATACATATGACCATTCAGAGCACTAACAGCAAGGCCTGCAACCACACAAACAGTCCTGCATGATGTCCTTCCAAAGGAGAAAATGCTAGCTTCCACTTCCTCTTGTTATAAAGGCTTTTTTAGTTAGCAGTATTAAAAGGTACCAATCAGGGTTCTGAAGAGCTAATCATGGAAATGCAAACACCCAGTGTAATATTGCCAAATCAAATAACAAAATTTCCTTTCTTATTAAACTACATTAATGATTCTAATAATCTTTTATTAACACTAAACTAAGATGCCGAACTACATTTCATTAGGAAAAAAAAAAAGTTACTGGCAATAGTTTATTAGAAGAAAACACCCTTGTATGTCACTAGATGGCAATGTTACGTATAGAACTGTGGGCTTTTGTCTGAATTGTAAAATCAAGATTTTAACTTTGAGGGAAAGCAGGTTTTTCAGACTTTTTTCATGAAAAAAGCACAACAAATGAGAAGAAAGATAATTTTGTCACAAGGCTGTTCCTTAAGAAGTGTGCATATAATTGTAAAAGCAGAGAAGTGTTAGCAGTGTCTGTGGTCAGTTGTCTTTGAGGACCGTAAGTAAGTAGTTAGAGCGAAACAAATTGCTTGAGGTATCTATCTAGTCAGATTTTGTATCATAGTACTCCTTCCTGAAAGGGCAATTTGAAAGATCTTGGCATCCGCTGTCCTTGATATCTGAGTAACACTGTGTCTAGGCTGCAACCTGTTAAAGCTTGCACGTGTTTGGAATGTTAGACTATTTGCCTTATTTTCATGGATTTTTTTTTGTTTGATGGGAGTTTGGGTTTGTTTGTTTGTTTGTTTGTTTTAACCTGCAGACCGAACATTAAGAAGGACCCAATAGCTGGAGGAACATACTGTGGGAAAATACCACTTGACAGAGCCTAATGTAATGGTACTGCACTTGTGCTCAGAAATTTCACTGGTATTAAAGGGAGTTCCACAGGCAGAATGCAAGAAGGGCCCACAGCACAAAAATTGCATGCAATTGTAGGGGGGAAACTAAGCTTTTCAGTCTCCCTCACTTATCCCAGTGTGCCTGGTTATTGCACAACAGATGGGGGTGAGTGACCTTTTAATATACATACAGACTAGTGCCCATTAATCTTGAGGTGAGGCAAGATTCCATGGTATGTAAGGACATTGTTTTTTTTCCCCCTTGTGCTGAAATACAGAGATGCTATGGGGAAAGGGAGCCCTGATGATGCATTGACTTTACACAAATGGCGTATTATTTTAAGATTAAAATCATATTTCGTTTCCTTTTTGCTGTAATGGATCATAAACCAGTGTTGCACAAGATGGGTGTTTTTTATTTGCTGTTAAGAAGTCTTATGGCTGCAAGTTTAAATAAGTTTGTACTAAACAAGGAAACAAATTTCTTAATTCCTATTTAGAGTTCTAATGCTAACTTTTTGTTGACAGGGCATTTAAAAAACTGTCAAAATGGTTTTCTCACTCTTTCTTATCAATGGTGAAGTTTCCATTACTGTTGATCCTTCATGAGAACAAGGGAAGTGATGCAGGATGAGCTGGTGAGAAAACTTAAAGGAAACAATAGTAATGACTCACAACTGAAGTCTGTGCTTTAGAAATTCCCACCTTTCAAAGAAGGTCTGCTAAAGAAAATTCAAAGTACTGTTCTAGCCAAATCAAAATTGTACTGAAGGAATACCATGACATGCAAAGTATTGTTTTCAGAGAGAGAACCTAATCTGATTGTACATTTGTTTAGAACTTTTTTTTTTTGGATTAATGGCATGCTAAAAACTGCTTGCCCAATCCATTGTCTTCAGAGACTGCCCTTTCTTTGACAACTTGCAGGAGCTGAATTCTGCAAAGAGCTGACTGCTTTCTCTGGCATTAAGTTTCTCCACTCTGTGGAGCTGTCTTTTGAAGTGTTTAGCAGACTATGCTTAGCACCTCAAAGGCTTGGGTCTTTAAAGAGTTAAATTCAATTTAACAATATTATGAAAACTAGCACTAAAACAAGAATGCAGTGACCAAAAGAATGTGTTGGAATGTGATAAGCCACAGTCTGTAATAGATTTTTGCTTTATTTTTTATGCATTTTACATGTTTATGATGAGGAAGTGATGTTTTCAAACACAAGTCCCTCTTTTCCAAGTTTTTTTCCTAGGTAGTATGTACAGCCCCAATGGATTTTCCCAAATGCTCCTCTTTCTGACTACACTTGGGACCAGACTAAGTCACGTACTTGATTTCAACATGTGAGAAACACACTTTTATGAATAGTGGCTCTTCTGTGCTGGAAAATGGAGCAGAATCATATCTTGGGGTAATTGAGTTCAGTGTTGTGAGATTTTTATCTGCTGCTGATACGTGTCTCTGCATATGGCTTCTGTTATGTGACTGCTTAGAAGACTTATTTTCTCGTGAATGCTTGTAGCTGTCATGTTAAATGAGTCTTGTTTATCTGGGAGTTGAAGTTAAAATTACAGAAGCTGTATTTTTAGTGGTGATTTGATTTGTATATAGCACTGGGAACACTAATAGGCTGAAGCTGCCTGTTAATCCCCTAAACAGAAAACATACTGTGTCATAGGCAGTTATTTTCATGTTAATTTATCAGTGTCCCTTAACTGTGTCTGGCAAACTCTTTAAACTGTCATCTGGAAGAGTTACTTCTAAATGTGCATGTGTTCTGAATTTTTATTCTTATAGTAGAAATATGGGTATACTAATGTTACCCAATTACCAGATATTTCAGTGGTTGTCTACTGAAAATGTTTTCAACATCTTGGAATATGTTGTAAAATGAGCTATTTAATAAAAATATAACCTCAGAACATGCACAGAGGTAGTGAAATATTAAGGGCGATATATGCAAATTTGCAGAGCAATATTGTCCATACATATACACATCATGATATTCATTAGGTGTGCAGTGGATCACTTAAATGACATAATTTTTGAGAGAGTGGCTACATGGTTGACTTCTGTGAACGTTTTATCACCACATGTCAGCGTGCTTTGGCATTTTCTTTAGTTTTTGCTTTAATAATCCTGACATACCTGTTTCCTTGCAATTCCTTTGCCCTGCCCCCAACAGCTATTCCTGCATGAAAAGCTCTCTAATCAAACACCTAAACTCAGTTCAGTGCAGTACTGCATTTTTGCAAAGGTGGTACAACAACCCCCTAAAAAGGGCATCAGTATCTTCCCTTGGTATATGCCTATAGACCACATCTGCATTCTTGGAAATTTGTCCATTGTGGAATCAAGTTTATTAAATAAATAAAAATCAAAGTTTCATTGCTTTGAACTGTCAGCTCAGCCTTAAAGATTTTGTTTTGTGTAAATGAACTGTATACGGACTTTCAAATGGGTACCTATAAGTGGATTGAGGTGCTATGTCATTCTTAAATTCCTGAACATTTTTCTACAGGAATGAAGTAGTAAATACAAAAAAACTTCCTGGAAAGATGCCAATTTTAAGGAAATCTTTTAGAAAGTAACAGTCTTAAAATGCATTTACTATAAAACAATTTGAATTTTAATACTTTAAAACATTACATTTTTGAATACAGAAATTACATTTTCCTGCTTTTATATGTTAATTTTTATTTCAAATGTCCATTATAAGAGAGGTATGGAATGCGGAAGGAGATGACTAGGATTTTTCTTAATTTTGCATTTATATGAATGAAGTAGAAGAAACTGATTTTCTGCCTCCCTGTGAAAGAAAAGATTGAACTTCTCCCCATTCTCAAGTATAGTGTCCTCAATCCAGGTTTTCTTTTTAAAGATGATATACCTTCATTTCCATTTCAATATGCTATACATTATATTGTGTAGCCGTCCTTATCAGTCTGCCTCTTTTGGTTCCACCAAGCTTTTTTTGACTGTTCATATTTTACTGATGCATATTTTAAGTAATCAGACTCTTTCTGCTTGACCATGATTTGCTGCTGAGAGTTGTACTTTTTCTCTAACGTATCATTTTTATGTCACCTTCTTCTGTTCCGCTGTTCTTAAATAATCTGGAATACAAAGCTTTCTGTTTTATCTTTACAGAAATAGGACTAAAGTTTCTGTTCCTATGCAGTAGTCCAGAGTGTAAACCCATGTCCCCAGTATAGCAGCTCAGTGAGTGATTCTTCTGTGCTCACAGTACTTCTGTTTTCAAAAAATCAGTGGTCCATCTGAAGCCTGTGCTGAGCTTCTGGTTCATGTTGATGTAATTAAGTAGCATGAAAGCTTGCCTATCAGGCTACGTACTGCTGTAGTTTAAATATGTTTGGCTGGACTTTCATTATTGAGCTATGTGTCAAACTCCTAATGAAGAAAATTGGTGCTGGTAGTAAACAGTAGTGGGAAGATATTTGTGTTGCAAATGAGATTGGTGATGTTCTTATTGCCTAAAAACTGATCTCTGCAGGAGCAATTTTTTGAGTCTTTCCTCTATTCTACTAATAAATTACTTTGTGCTGATGTGCTTGTCCTGTTGCTTGTTCTGGATCGAGCTCAGGGTTTTCTATGTTGTAGTATACAGTACATGCATTATTCTATTCCCTTGTGGGGTTTTTCTGTACATCTGAGCTAAGAGTGTTAGCTGGAAGAAGTAACAGACTAATCTGTAGTCTGAACTACAAAGTAGAGTGGGATAGGGACTCTTAAAAGAGAATATGTAAACATGGAAACTGGTATTCTGTTTCTGGTACTACTGAATTCTCGCTGTGGCTTCAGACCAGCTGTTTATTTATTATATTTATTTACTCATCTGTGAAAGAAGGATGATAATTATTTACCTCACTGGAAGATCTAATGGTTCATTAGTTTATTTTCAAAGGCGTTCATGACAGCTGAAGCAGACCAGCATACGCACACAAATTTCCAGTGGCCAGGACCTAGCAGCTCAGCTATGTTGATTCCTACCCAAACAGCTGTCTCCACTTCTTCAGCAGGGAAACTAAGGCTGGTTTCAAGATGTCCTACCTTTTTTGCCTTATCTGCCTCAGATTTTTTTTTTTTTTTTTTGTATTTAGATGCATTTCTTTCACCCTGGAACGTGTTCCATTGTGTTTTATGACCTAAAACCCAGCAGGTACATAAACTTGTGATCACTGTAGGAAGGTGGTCTTGTGTCCAAATGACTTTTTAAACTGTTAAACAACTGGGGGTTTCAGGAAACTTACAATTCAGACTTTGTAGGAAAAAACACCCAAGTTTGATCTGCTTACAGGGAGGGGACAGCTTCCAGACTTGGTAGAAAGAAGGTGAACAGTGGGGAGGTGACATTGACAGAATAAAAATAATAGCATCACTTTCTGGCAAAAGTGAACATTTTGGCAAAACTGAATCACAAAAGGGCTAGATAAGGCCTGTTTCACTGCCTATGTAAATGAAAATATAAGCTGTGTTGTGTTAACAAACTGGGCAGTGTTTGCCTGGCATTTAGAAATGCAGTTTTTGCGGGTAAGATGCATTAAGTTCTATTGATGCCTTACAAAATCCTGCTCCTGTCCTGTCAGAGATTACCAAAAAGCTTTGAAGATACTAAATAAAAATTGCCTTTGCTTGTCAAATAATGCACGTGTATATTTCAAAATATACAAAGTTACACAAGATCTGAAATAAAGTGAGGTTTTGTGCATTTTTGGTGAGGGTTTGTTTTTTTCTTTTTGCAAACAGGACTTCAGGCTATAAATAAGAAAATAATCATTGATGGATATTTGTCCTGCTACAAACAAGCTAGCAATGCCAGAACGATTTGTCTCTTTGGTCATTAAATATTTTTTTAAGTTCTCTCTCTCTCTTTTTTGAAATTCAACTTCAGTTCAACAAAAAAACTACATTTAAAATCATTTGGATTTGAAGTCGGGTGTTAAGTATGTAGAATACTTTTATCTTAAATAAACAAGTACACCTGTAATTTCTTTTTTGTTGTTGCTTTTTTGTCATCAAGTAAGTTAGATCAGTAGGACTTAGATCTACTTCATAATTACTTCCTGCAAATCTCCTTATGCGTTTATGGTTTATGAACTGAACCCTGGAAAATACTTCAGCAGTACAAGGTACCAGCATTCAATATTGGAGAATACAAATATATTAGTAAAATACTTCCTTTTCTTAATTATTGAAAAGTACATTTAAAGGCTTCTGTGGTTAAGATATTTGTTGTCATCGGGTTTAGCATTTTTAGGATTTACAGGAAGTAAGTGTTTAGGACTCAGAATCATAGAATCACAGAATAGTTAGGGTTGGAAAGAACCTTAAGATCATCTAGTTCCAACCCCCTGCCATGGGCAGGAACACCTCACGCTAAATCATATCACCCAAGGCCTCGTCCAACCTGGCCTTGAACACTGCCAGGGATGGAGCATTCACAACCTCCCTGGACAGCCTATTCCAGTGCCTCACCACCCTAACAGGAAAGAATTTCCTCCTTATATCCAATCTAAACTTCCCCTGTTTAAGTTTTAACCTGTTACCCCTTGTCTTATCACCACAGTCCCTAATGAAGAGTCCCTCTCCAGCATCCCTATAGGCCCCCTTCAGATACTGGAAGGCTGCTATGAGGTCTCCATGCAGCCTTCTCTTCTCCAGCTCCAACTTTCTCAGCCTATCTTCATATGGGCAGTGCTTCAGTTCCCTGATCATCCTCGTGGCCCTCCTCTGGACTTGTTCCAACAGTTCCATGTCCTTTTTATGTTGAGGACACCAGAACTGCACACAATATTCCAGGTGAAGTCTCACAAGAGCAGAGTAGAGGAGCAGGATCACCTCCTTTGACCTGCTGGTCGCACTCCTTTTGATGCAGCCCAGGATACGGTTGGCTTTCTGGGCTGTGAGTGCACACTGAAGCCGGCTCATGTTCATTTTCTCATCGACCAACACCCCCAAGTCCTTCTCCACAGGGCTGCTCTGAATCTCTTCTCTGCCCAACCTGTAGCTGTGCCTGGGATTGCTCCGACCCAGGTGTAGGACCTTGCACTTGGCATGGTTAAACTTGATAAGGTTGGCATCAGCCCACCTCACAAGCGTGTCAAGGTCCCTCTGGATGGCATTCCTTCCCTCCAGGGTATCAACCAAACCACACAGCTTGGTGTCATCGGCAAACTTGCTGAGGGCGCACTCAATCCCACTGTCCATGTCAGCGACAAAGACGTTGAACAAGACTGTTCCCAACACCGATCCCTGAGAGACACCACTCGTTATTGGTTGCCAGATGGACATTGAGCCATTGACCACAGCTCTTTGTATGTGGCCATCCAGCCAGTTCTTTATCCACCGAGTTGTCCATCCATCAAATTGATG